TACACATTCATTACTACGAAACAACATAAAATAAAATCACAAGACAAAATTTTATATAAAAATAATACTACGATATTCCTATAATAAAGACAAAATTTTATATAAAAATAATATTACGATATTCCTATAATAAATCTAAAAGTTTAAATAAGACTTTGTAAAAATAGAAATTTGCTTTCTAAAAATTTCTTCAAAAATTTTGTATTTTATTCTTTTTTTGTCCCCAGCAATGGCGCAAAAAAATTGATCTCGACTTTTATATGTCAATGCGATGTATGCAATTATATTCTTAATTTTTCCTTACAACTCTTACTTTGCAACAACGCCGAAAACTTGATCCTCAGCAACAACTAGACAAGAACTTGACTTCAAAGAAAATAAGAATACAATTATTATATTTACATAAGGGATACTACGCAAGTATACGTATTGTTATCAAGTAATATAGGACTTTTTGATTAAGCCCAAAATATCGAACCCACCGAGACAATTATGCAACTAAAATCAGAAGAAATTAGATAACAACTTATACTTAGCAAAATATTTTTACTCAAACTATAGATTCAATAATAGGAATGAAAGTTCGATTATTTTTTTTTTGCAATTTTTTTATAATTGAAAGTAAAGTACACAACTAATTAAACTTAACTAGATATTTGTAAGATGAAGTCAATATAAATAAAACATTTTTTTTCTTATCATGAATCAGTAATAAGTATAGGAATTCTGTTGTGAAAGTATTCAAATTATGTTGTGTCAAATATGAACAATAATATTCTTTACTCTTACTAGAGAGGCTATAAAGAACATTGGATAATTTATAGTTTGAATAGTCTTGAAGACGAGTTAGGTAGGGAAGATACTAGCTCTCACTCTAGAGTTCCCTCTTCTCCCTCCACTTGGGGGTTAATATCTCGTATTAAAACCTAAAATTATAAATCAAATTGGAGGCTTTAGCTTGTCACTCCAAAGTCCTCTAATTCTGCACCCTTTAAAGTTTATTTCCCTATTTATTTGCACTCAATCATATGAATTACATTCTCATCCATACAATCTCATGTGATTCTTAACATTTGTTGACTGAGACAATACCATCTTGAGACAATATGAGACAATACCATCTTGGATCTTACATGTTCTCACAACAGGTATTAGCATTATAATTGGCCAAATTAAGAAGTAAATGAAGTCAAGCTTTAAATTCATCATAACTTATTCTAATATTAAAGACAAATACTTCATACAACTACTATCAAATAATTAATTACTTATCATTTTAAGAAAAAAGATAAAGAAAACTACTCAAAATTCATGGAGAAAACACAACCACACTTATATTTAAAAGTAGAAATCATGCAAACAAACAAGAAGTCTAAATTAAAACTAAATGTAGTCACAAATATAAAAACTGATCTCAAATCCATTACATCAAAGTGTTGAAGTTCCTTTGAATCTCGTCCATCATTTACAATACAAACAACAAGTTAAAATAAAAAGAAAAATGGCAGCGGCGACGGTGGCTTGTGGGTGATGATGATGGTTTGACGGCTCTGATGATGGATGGATGCATCTCCTCTTAAATCCAAGTCTTCTATTATAATTTTCTAAAAGGTTCATTGGTGTCTCTTCAAAATGTGTCCACATTCAATGAATCTTTCAAGAGTTGCCTCCTTTCGAAAGCCAATTGAATGTAATTTCGTGTCCATTAACTATTTCTCACATTTTTAACCTGAGGTTGCTTCAAACACCTCTTCAAAAATTTGTCCAAATTCATTGAATCATTAAATAACTACTTCTGGTGCTTAAGCGCGATGTACTAGGAGCTTAGATGTGGCTTTATCTGTTTCACTGGCGCCTAAGCGCCAGTTCTTGGAGCTTAGGCGCCTCAGTTCAATTGCACACCTTCTTCATTTTTGTTCTAAATTTGATCCTTTTTCACTCTTTTCACCAATTTTTATTCATTTGATTGTACCTGAAAGAATAAAACATAAATACCTTTCATTGAAGCTCAATATTTTAAAAATAAGTATAAAAATGTGTACATAAAGACTATATATTTTAGGTGAATTACTCGCTAAATATAAATTGGGTCAAACTTTTGACCATTTCTTTGAAATTAAATAATTGTGTAACTGCGGGTGGGGTCCAAGACGACCAGAGGATGGCCATGTTTCTAGATGGAAACGAAAGGTCTCACTTCTCCCTATCGGAGCCTCTTCTAGTAAACCTATCATGATGATTCACCATCTTCTCCAAAGATGGTCAAAATTATTCCAGCAAAGTGTATGTCACTTGTACAAACATGTTCATCTAAAGATTGCTCGATAGGAGCCTTTCCTTATCGCCGAGTGTCCTCCTCAACAACAATGAACTCCTTGAGCTTTCTTGATCAGATTTGATCCTCGACTATGTTCTAGAGGTAAAGATATTCCTTCATGTCATGACTGTGGTCTCAATGGTAATCACAATACTTATTGGTGTTCCAAAGAGAAGCCACTATCTTCATTGGTGGAGCCTTCTTAAAGTACTTCTTGTTCTGATGGACCTCCACTAGCTCAATCATTAAGACCCTGTTCTTCTGGGCTTCATAGTACAGTCGCCGTTGTATTGAGGCGGTCACTAGTTAGAATATCGAGTCTGACATTGGTTCCCTTTTACCTCCATTGTGGTTCTGATTATGTCTATCATTCTCATAGTTGGAATGATCAGAATGATGTTGCCCATTCGTCAATTTCTACCCCTTCATCTCGTGCAACTCTCTTCTTCGACCGACGATCTGAAGACTCTGCTCGATGTGAGAAGAGTTGATGACTCCCTCCTTCACGATGATATGCATATTAGCTATTTCCAACAACTCCAAAGACTTAGGTTCGCACAAACCTAAGTCATACTTGAACCGCTCCATCTCGACTCCATGAAGTCGATCAAAGGTTGCCGGTTTTGCACCTCTAGCATTTCCTTCCGAGAATGCGTGATATAGGAATGAAAGTTTTTGTATTCTCATTATTTGATCTAAAAAGGGATTGCAAATTTTTCAGTGGATTTTGGGCACTAGCATGGTGCGCCATGAACAACTTCTTGAACTCGGTAAAAGAGTGCATAACTCCCGTCGATAAGGGTAAGCCATTGAACCACACAAGAGCAAACTTCCTTAGTGTGGTAAGGAATAACCGACGCTTTAAATTTTTGGTGATTTTAAGCATAACTACTCTCGATTCAAAGACGACGATATGGTGGACAATTTAACTTCTTCAAAGGTTTGGCCTCTAAAATTTTTCTGAGAGAAAGTGTTATCTAGCATATGTTTTTGACGTCACAACATGTACAGGCTAATGTATCCATGGTGTCTGGTCGTTTCTTTGGCCACCAGACGTTAGGGGTTCCCCTTGAGGAGGCTCCTAAGGGAGATGTGGTTTCTCACAAAGTTCTCCTATAGGTACGAAAAGTTATTATTACCCCCTTTGGATAATAGTTGCTCAAGTAGCGATCATCATTGATCTTCAAGTTCCTAAAATTTTTGTTACACAAACTCACAGGTGCACTTAATGTTCTCAGTGTTGTCAGGTTGAGTTTCTTCTTAAATATATGTTGGGCATGTCCATGCTCACCATTCCTCCTTTTAGGATGATGAATCCTAATTTATGCTCTATAACACACCTCGGGTGATCGAACGTAACGAAGTAAAGAAGGGAGAAAACAGTAGAGTGCAAAAAGAACAATTTCAAGAAAAAAATTTCCCTTCAATCATAAAATGGTCTCTATTTATAATCATACGAGACTCTTGATAAAATGACATTTTTATCCCTATTTTAATTGGGCGTTACAACTCATTATTTGACCTTAATTAACTATAAGCATTACAGACTAGTTTTTGAATTTCTCTAAAAGTTTGGCCTTTAGGATTTGCCAAGAGAAAGTGTTCTCTGGTAGAAGTTTTTGGGGTGTCTCAGCATGTACATTCTAATGTCTCCATGGTGTCCGGTCGGTTCTTTGGTCGCCAGGTGTTGGGGGTTCCCCTTGAGGAGGCTCCTCAGGGAGATGTGGTTCCTCACAAAGTTCTCCTCCTTGTAAGAAAAGTTATTATTGCCCCCTTTGGATAATAGTCGCTTGAATAGAAATCATCATCGACCTTTAAGTTCCAGAAATTGTTGTTGCAGAAATTCACAGGTGCACTCAATGTTTGTAGTATTTCCGGGTTGAGTTTCTTCTTGAATGTGTGATTGTCCATGCTCACCATTCCACATTTTAGGATGTTGGATCTTAGTTTGTGCGAGGGAAAGAACATAAAGAAGTATAGACGAGAGGAGACAGTAGTGCAAAATGAACAATTTCAAGAAAAATATTTTCCCTTAATTCTTAAAATGATCTCTATTTATCATCACAAGAGACTAGCGTGACAAGTCATTATTTACCCTTATTTAATTAGAAGCATTACAAACCAATTTTTTTCCTTCTGATCAACTATGCTTTTGGATCGGTCGACTTAGCTAACTTGGGTCGACTTATTCCTATCACTATTCTTGTACTATCTACAAATAAAAATCAAGTGATTTCATTTCATTCAAATATACTAAAATGCATGTCAACTACTGGAGCCTATTATTATGGCAATTGTATATAAATATCATGAACCAAAGATTTTCCAATTGAATCATAAATAGTAAAATGTAAAGATAGTTACATACACAGCACCAAAAATTGTTATTTACAAAACTAACACCCAGATGACTTTTTTGAACCCCCAAACTGTCCAAACTGATACAATTTTACGTACCAGCATTCAAACACTGAGAATTTGATAAAAATGAAAAATATGGGTTCAAATATTATCGTGATTTCGATATAAGAGTTAAAATTTGAAAATTGGATGATATAATAGCAATCATTCGAGATGTAAATATTCAAGTACAGGAGCATTATGGACTACCCAGAAAAAAATCAAATTATAACTAATCCACAGTGCAATTAGAGCAGCATAAGCTTAAAAAAAAATAAAAATAATAAAAAAAAAACTGATTTATTGTTAATTAGGGAAAACAAAGGTAGTCAATAATAAATTATTAATCAAAGTGCTTAAAAACTGAGCTCTACTCAGTTAAAATCCAAATAGCAGATTTCTAAGAATGGGCAATATGCACATTACTCAACCGATCAACCACATCGCCTCTCTCAAAAACAGCCGCAGCTCCCATCCCAGAACCTGCACAAAAGAGGAATTTTTATTCTTAATCTCACACACCACCTAATTCCTATGTATTTATATATTGTTGTGAGATATGTACTTCCTGACATAGAAATGAGACGAAAAAGAACACAAGCAAACACAGATCGTTTACGTGGTTCGATCCAACTGGATCTACGTCCACGGGAGGGAATCAATCAAATATTTCACTAAGGCAAAAGAAATGGAGAATACATAGCTTATACATAAAGATGAGCCCTCATCTTCCTTCGATGGCCTCCCTCTCAAGCGACACCTTAATACAAGGCCTCAAGATGCTCTCCTCCTCTCTAACTCTATAGCTACTCTCTCCTCCTTTGTGGTAGCTCAAGATATCTCCTCCCTTCCTCTCCTAGGCCTCACACCCTCTCTATTTATAGAAGCAAGAGAGTGGTAGGTGGGAGTTAGGTGGGAGGTAGGTAGAGATGTGGTAGGTGGCGGTGTCACATTACAAAATTGTCCTTTTACCTTAGTTCATTAATTGGGGGTCAAAATAACATCAGGTTTAATGCTCTCAAAAAAAAAAAATCCAGAAAAAGTTACAGCTCAAGAAATTGGAGATAGATAACATTGGCACTAACAAGTCTTGCAGCATTTCAAATTCTTTTCCCAATGAAAAACTAGAGATCGTATTCTGTCCATTCGTTGCATCTCCTTTTCTAGCTGATTATATTATCTACGTTTGCCTTATAAGCTCACAAAACTGGAGATAGATAACATTCCATTGAAGCAGTAACAAGGCAATATCTTGTGTTTATGAATCGGAACAATTTCTAATTTATGCACTGAAAAAAATCTTAAAATCACAACAAATTTAATGAAAATAGCATGGAGGGCAGTAAAGAATATGCACAATCTGCACACTTCTTCAGAAAAAAAGAAAAATCTCGAATGTCCTTGTACAATTTATCACTCGAACAAAAAATACAAATGAACTATTATAAAATAGCAGATAAAAACTATGCAACTACTTAGTTTGGTTTTCATTTAATAAAATTTATCTAATAGTATATGTAATTTAAATATCTTATTAATAGCTATCAAAGTAAATAGATGTATGCAAATGATGCTTAAGCTCCACCAACTTAATTCCCGGGCAGTCCACCATATATAGTTTTTGAAGTGCTGGAAGTCCAGAAATCCTCCCCAGATGGGGGATGTTTTCAATGTGAAGTTTTTCTAAACAAGGGAGGTTGTGCATCACTTATGTAGCAGCATGATGCAGGAGTTCTTCAGGATATGACTTGAGTTTGGGGCATTCATCAATTGTTAACTTTTCCAAAAGAGACATCAAAGGCATGGCTTTCCCCGAACTACTCCACTCCTCCCAGCTATCCATTTTTTAAACAACAATGTCTTCATTCTTGAAAAGAATGCAGAATTTTGATATGATGACACCAATGCACCCTTCTCAATATTGCTTTTGTCGTTACCTGTGTAGAATGTTGGCCCAATTCTATTTATTGATGATAAACCTTCAATCACAAGTGTTTCCAAGCTGGGCAACAATCATAAGCCATCAAGATGTGTGCAGTTGCTACAACCAATGATTCTCAATTGCAATAAAAAATTAAGGTTGCGTTTGTGACACTTTGTATTTATCCAGATAAGTTGCTTATCCGGAAAAGTGGACCGCGAGGTTTGACATGCGTTCCACGTTTAGTATAAAAATACAACTGTGTTTTCGGATAATCTGCTTAAACGCAGTTTCCAAACAGTAATGTGGCGTTTTCAAAATGCCACCGCAATGAATAAGCTGCACCAAACGGAGCCTAAACAAGCCATAGCACACTCGTATGTTGCTTTCAGAATAGTTTCTAATATAAAGATATTTTAGTTGGGGAGGAGGACAAAGATCCTAAAAAATCTCCTCGATTTTATTGGAAACTTCTTTGACTTATGTACATTTCATCAACACTAGATTAGAATCAATTTTTGAGCAACATAGGCCTGAGAAGTTGAAGGTGGTTTTGGTCTTTGAAAGCAGCACTTTTTGCTTCTGACCTGTCCAACATTCTTTCCAGCTTGTACAAACCTAAATTTCTGATGAAAAGATCCGTTAGTTAGATTGTTATTTTTATACCCTTATTTTAATTAAATTATTTTTTCCATGTATGCGCAAATGTTTAGTTCACAGAGCAATTTTAATAATTGATTAATACACATTACAAACCTCAGTTCCGTGAGTGTTCCCAACACCTTAACAATAGATGATTCCGGCGCAAAATCCTCCGGAGGCGTAAGAAAGTGGAGAGGTTGTAGTTTGTTCAATCTTCCCATTCCAGGGGGTAAATGATTCAACGCAGAACCTTCAACGAAAAGAGAACATAAACGATGCAATATTATTATGCATGAGGGAAAATTATAGAGGTTTACACAATCAGAAAATCAAGAGTCCTCAGATCTTTGAGGTTTTGGATGCTTTTGGTTTGATAGGTTTAGGTAAATTAGCTGCTTAAGGGAACCAATGCATTCAGACAAATTTGAAATATTAATTCCTTGAAGCCATGGTATCCTCAGATGATGAAGATGATTAAAGAGGTCATTATCAATTTTACAAATAGATTTATCAAAGATGAAAAGAATCCTAAGAGATTCCTGTTCTTCTGCTCCACTCCAGCATATGTCCCTTATCTTATTTGGTATATGAGTCATACCTAACAATAGTTTAAAATTTCATCTTCGGTAGCTAAGCCTCACACCCTCTCTAT